TTCCTCATTATTCCATTAACATTTTCTGTGGCCTTGATCATCACATCAGTAAACTACACTGCAGTTGCTGTGTACAGGAAAAAGAAGGATTTGAAGTAAATTGTTTAAAGGTATGATGGAATTAAAAAAAAAAAAAAAAAGGCTATTTTTTGCAGTATCTGTTCAGCTAGTCCCAATAAGCAAATAAAACAGTAACACTGAGACATATTGGGGCATCTCATATTTAAAACCTCTTGTAAGTTTAAAAGACTTTTATATCTCCACATCAAACCACCTGTTTACATATCTCTATCATACGGAAGAAAGATAGTCCTGTGGTTAGAGGATTAACTTGAGAAATCTGCAGTCAGATTTCCTGTCCAGCCATGAATTTTTTATGATCCAGGGTAAGGCCATGGAAAGCGATGACAGCGGCCACAGAGAAGCTTGACCTTGCCTCACTGGGTTAAAGATAACCTTTGTGGATGTCTCTTGTATACTGCAGTTTCACATAGCCCATGAATAAAAGTAACTTCTGTACCTCAGGGCTAGTGTCAGAAAGCAGGGAAACATTCAGTCTCTGGGATAATACCCATCTAAGAATTTAAAATAAAGTGTTTGTTACTGTGCCTGTTAATTAGTGGTGTCACTGTAGCAGTTTATTCTGTGTGGCCAAGCCTTGTGCCTGACTGAAGCCCCACCAGCCCGTCAGTATCTGCAGCTGTTTAACCATGGCTGGATGCTCTGGGGGAAGGTTGACTGAGGCAAGGATCTGGCACAGAGGAAAGCCAAGCACCCACTGCCAAACCCTTGTCTGTCCTTGGGAAGAATTTCCTGTCATGCCTGTTATATGAAGCTAAACCCCACGAAAAGTGCAAAGGGTTCAGACGCTGACTGCACTGAGAAAGGAAGGCTGGATCATTAGGTATAAAGACAGACAGACTGGAAAGTCAGTCCTTTTTTATTTTTTTTTATTTCAAGAATGGCTATATCCTTTATTCCTTTCAACACATAAGGTCATAAAAGCATGATCATGCAATCAACAGTGATTGAATAACCATGAGTTACTGTCTGACACTTGAACCATAACAATTAATCAAAAGCATGAATGCAACAACTATGAAATAAAAACACATTTATGTAACCTGCCTTTAAACTCCCTTACAGTTTACTTTGCAATTGGGGCAGGCTAAGAGCATTATTAGTAACTGCAACCTGTTTCATACGTTTTAACCTTTTTCTTAACATCAACTCAATATCCTTTCCTGAAGAGAGAACAGTAATTTACTGAAACAAAAAGCCTTTATTGCAAGTTCTCTTTCTTTGCTTAGCATCAGAAGCTGATAGGTGTTAAAGTTGTGTAAAATATGTTTAGATACCTATAAAAAAGAGTTAAAATATTTTTTCAATTTTTTTTTTTTTTTTTTTTTTTTTCATGTACTATCTATTAAAATCTATATTTAAGGAAAAGTTCATCCCATCTTCCCTGTTCACATTTCTTTTACTATTTGAATGACATTTAAACATGGCACATTTTCCTATGTTTCTTGTTAAGATTGCACTATTTGTTTTTGACACCAAAGCAAATGCTGCTTTACCCTATACATGCCTAAAGTAAATAAGACTCTGAGAAGTTTCCAGATGCATAGAAAAGAGTAGTTTCATAAAATGTTTATCGTCTAACACATTAACATTGTTCAGGTTTTATAAGCACCAGCTAGAAGAAACCTTGAGATTGGAAGTACTCCAATTTCCATGAGTCTTAGAGCAAGCTGCTTGAGATCACGCATGTCAGATCTCTTGCTCCTACCACCATGCCCTGCTACCTTTATCAGGTTGCTTATTTGAGACATTCATAGTGAAAAGAATAGGAATTTTTGGTGTGAGTGTGAATCCTGTAACCATGACAATACTTATCACCCTGAACACTCTTAATAAATAAATGATAACAGAAAAGCTCTGAAATATTGTTCTTGAGAACAGACTATGAATGCTTAGGTAAGCTTTTTTTTAAGGAATCCATTGCATTTCTGCCTGTTTTAACTAATGAGGTCTTTTATAGAATCAATAATGTAAAAGAGCTGAGATCAGTCCCACCCCTTGATACCTTTTCCCAATTAAGGCAGCGGATTATTGTATTAATAATATTATTTAGTGACTATTCAGCATTTTCACTCTGGTGAGATACTGTGCAAACATTAATTAATCTCCACCAAAGCCCTGAAACCTCACTGGGAAATATTAAACCCATTTTACAAATAAGGGCCTGGAGCCAGAGATTCTTCAGTACCAGAGAGATTGTAACTTGAAGCTTCTTGGGACAGTGAGCAGGTACAAGAGTCTAGAATAATGAATGGCCCTGCAGTTAAAGCTAACTTAAAGAATATAATCTCTACTCTGCCTTGACTTGGGGCAATCATTTTGCTTCTCAAGGAAAGACCTTTCTGTGTTTTTTTCAGGAATGAATATCTCTATCAGTGCTTCAGACTGAGGCTGTTCATACAAAATAATTACACAGTTGTGGGATGAGGAGAGAGAGAGAGCGAGCCCATTTCCATAGCCCAGTGATTAGAGTATCCACACAGATCCAGATTTCCCTCCAATTAGTATTTAACTTAATACACATGCAACAGCAAGAAAAAGTGGAGTCTGAAAAAGATCTAATAGTTTGTAGCTTTTTCACTAATGTTATGTTGAGTTCATCGATTTGAACTCAAATCTTCAAGTAACAGAACATAACACAGGGGGACAGACAGACAGACAGATAGATCCCAGATGTCTGTAGAGATGTTAACCACTACCACATCTGTAACTATAGAGCTTGTCCACTCTGAACTTAACTGACTACCCCAAAACTTTTAAAAAAGTATTTCAAATTTCCACCTTTCATAGTGTGCTCATTCTTGTTTTACAGTGATTCCTTCTAAGGGAGAATGGGACATCGTATGTTTTTACAATACTGATGGTACCCAGTCTACATAGTTTGGCAACTAAGTCAGGAGGTCAGGATTTCCTTCGGAAAATGCTGAAGACTTCCACCTCTCTCCACTCATTACCTAACGATCTTTGTTACTTATTTTCAGAGGATGCTAATAGGGACCCAAGATTTAGGAAAAGGGCAGATCTTTCCTTGCTTTTAGCATGTTTGTTTGGTTTTTTTTTGTTTGGTTTGTTTTGTTTTGTTTTGTTTTTGTTTTTGTTTTTTTCCCTCTGGTCATAAATAGCTGAATTTTTTGAAAGCAGCTTAGTTTCTTTGTAGTCGGGTTGAAATTTTACTCTTTTTTTTTCTTTCCTGTTTTTAGTCTGTTGACAAATTCCCTGCCTTCTTCCTAATCAGGATGCTGGGTGATTGATCGGTTTAGCACATCTTTGTGTTAATCTTTGATTACCTGTTTCATATGAGGGTCCTTACTCCTGTAAATACATGACATTTAATGCCATTGACTTATACATCTGGCTTCAGAAATCCTGCAGTTCTTTCTCAACCAAATGGGAAGGAGAACAGTTTTAACATACTTCTAGGGCATGATTCATCTCACCCTAAGTTAAGCTTCTAAAGTAGGCCAAGTCTGCTATGTCCTAGAAAAGTCTATCACTCTTAATTGACTCTAAAGGAAGTTCAGATATCTATAGTTTAGACATCTACATCAGAATTACTTTCCAACTGTTAGATGAGATGAATTCTAACTCAGGGCATCTGAACTCCTTCCTGTGTGCTGTGAAATGAGACAGCAGGGTGAAAAAAGCCCAAACGTCCAAGAAGATGTGCTCATTCCATGACTCCTCCATAGGATTCACTTGTGAGATTCCTAGGGAGCCTCATGTTTAACCATAACTCCTCTCTTACACTATATTAATTAAGGCAGAAACTGCCTGAAGGCTCTTCAGTCTCTTTCATAACACATCCTTCTGTCTGATCTTTGGAACGTATCCTGTAGGGTTTTTTTTACTTGTTTTTTAATATTAAAAAAGTCCAATAATATACATATTTTTACACTAAATGTTTATGGTACTCCCTAACTTGAGTGTAACTCAGTGGCAACACTACTTGTTTTAAAAAATCTCTGTTCTAAGAGATTATTTAAACATAATGACATCCCCTGCCTGAATTCGTGCTCCTTGCTCAAATTGTTTGGGTTTGTCCCTTAATATAGCAACTATGATTTATCCTCCTATCAATGTGCAACAATAAGGTCAGGGTAAGAGTTTATAATATTCTTGTCAAATACAAAAATATCCGAAGAACACAAAATAAACTGTTGCAATGTATTAACATGAGCATATGCATAAAAGGAGAAAAATTACAGTTACACTAACTTCTGAAATGTAAGTATGCTCACTTTGAATAAAGGGAGCTTTAACTGGGAAACACACAGAAATCACTTTCCATATTTCTCTTCCAAAACCAACCACATAGAGTAATTGCATATAAATCAAAATTTTGATGGATTTCACATAAACCAGTGGCAATCTGAATATGAAATTCCAGGAACATAAATTCAGTTTTGCAATCTAAAAGGTATAAATCTGGCTACACTGAAGCCAGTGGGACATTTTACTATTAACTTTGTGAGACAGATATCAAGATTTCACCCATGGGCTCTGTGAGTTTCTGATTTCTCCTTGCTTCTGTTATTTGTTTAAATTTAAAAGATAATATCAAAAACTCTTTCTGCAATTATTATGTTTTCTAAGGGGTAAGACAAAAAGAAGAAAGTTGATAATTTCTTTGATGAACAACTTCTTTTCAATTATTTGTTGCCTGGATGTTAACCCAAATCTGATGTTTTTCTGCTTTTAATTCTCTAACCTTATATAGTAGGTGAGAAATTCCCGGAAGGATTGGACTGAGAGGTTTTTGGCCACTCTCATTATCATGGTCTGGTGCCATGCCTGGTGTGGACTCTGTGGCTGCAGAAAGGCTGTACCACAGAGCAGCCTCCTGCCTCCTCACCGCCATGGCTGCGCCCAGCCTCTGGATGTACAAGTAGTACAAGTTATCTGAGAGATCATATATGTACCTAGCTCCTCCTCTGGCGTCCCTGGAAAACTGAAGCTCGACTTGAGCAGATCGCCACCCTCTTCTTCTGAAAAGACAGAAACAAAGTAGCTATTTAATAACTCTGATATTTTTGTATACCCAGACATAAACTCTCCACTAGTTTTTAAATCCACTCGGTGATACTTATTACCATTCCGTATCTGATACTGTGAAGCTGTTGAGGTGAAATTATCTGCAGTATCTATCCCTCTTTGACAGTTGTTCTGGCGTTCTTCTATATTTTTTTGTTTTAATTTTGTCAGATGTTTTTACATCACTAGTATCATAATATTCGTAAATGATTTTTTAACATCCTTTGCATTCTTCTTTTCATCTTTGCTGCATTGAATTCTACTGCCTTTTAGCCCTATATATTTATTCCAGGAAGAATCATTAATGTCAGCCTTCCTGTTGTACCTTTAGCACTTCCCACTTCTGATGATAATAATGCCACTCATGATTCTCAGGCCACTTTCTTTACATTTTATTCACAGCCATTTCAATTCTGCAGTTCTGAACTCTGATAACGCTGTGCTGGTGACTCTCTCCTATCAATAACATTTGCTTTTGTGCCAGAGACAACTTCTGTAATTCTGGAAAAGTACTTAAGCTCAGATGGTATGTCTACGCTGTATGAATGCAGTGACATAGGCAGAAACCTACTGAATGGCCCGAGTGCAGCCTTTAGCTACCCTGCCTGTATCACTTTCAGAATTGCAGCTTGTTGCCTCTGCATTGCGCTATTGTTATGCTGTCATACAAATTAACTTGGACTTGGCATGTAGCTCAGATATTTCTAACATGGAGCTGCATATGGAAGACTGTCAGTAACACTTCCTTAAGGTACAAGATTGGCTGGAGAATACATATATTAGGATGCGAAATATCACAGTAATGTGTTTCATGCAAGTACACAATACCGGGTTTTTTTTAAATGTTTTTGCCCTTTTATCCATATTTGCTGGAGTCTCAGTTGAGTGGAAGTTGAGTATAGACAGCCTTCCACTGTACTCTTTCTTACTATCTGTGCCTGTTACAAGCACAGACACCTCAAAAGAACAGTGAAAAAATGGAGTACCCCGTAGCCTCTCACTATACGTTCAACCAGCAATACTTCAGAGAAAGACAAAATCAGGTATTGCAGACCATGTTTCTGTAGTGCACAACCAAGGACTGATGACTTTTAAAGAACTCACATCAGTTAATGTTCCTCATATCCTCAGGCAGGTATTCCTGTAAGTTTGAACCAACTCAGACTTTTCTCAAGAGTACCTCAATCCCTGTATCAGACAAGCTGGTTTTTTTTGGGTGGGTGGGTTGTTTTTGTGGGTTTTTTTTGTTTGTTTTGGGTTTTTTTTGTGGTTCAGCTTACAACAGGCACACTGTTTTGCCTGTTTCAATGTTCCATTTAACAAACACATGCATTTTCTATATTTCTTGGTCTTGGTTGCACCTTATTAGTACCATGATTTTTTCCCAATTATGTCACAGCAAGCAAAATAAGTTATTATACTCATGTGGATTCTCTCAAACAATTGTTCCTGATTTTGACAATTCATGAGGTTAAGAATATACAACTGATAACAATGGGTAGCATAGCACAGGTACTGCATAGAAAATAAGTCCTGAGGATGTTAAGAATGTTGAATAAGCTGAGCTGTCAAATAAACATCTTGTTTATAAACTCAATTGTTAAATAAACTCACTGCTAAAATACAGCCTACTAGAGGTCTCGTTAAGTGATGGATAAAGAGTCATACACAATATAAAAAATGACTGACATATGAATTTAAATTAAATTTCATTTGGAGAGGTAATGGACAAGTCTAATTAAATAAAAGCACAAATTAGGCAGTTTCCATGGAGACTTTGCTCACATGATCTGCCTATATTGTATAACTCATATGCCTGTCCTCTAATTTGGCTGCACAGGAGTAAGGAATCAAATGAAAGTTATTACAAGAATATTCTGAAGAATCCTTAAATTCATACAAAAAACTAGGAGATCTTACTGTTAACTTCATAATAAAGAAGTTTTATATTGAAACACTAGCTTTGTATTTTTGCAAAAAGCTATTAATTTATTCCAAAGTTATATCATGTACATATTTTAGAAACACTTATAAAATGATCCAAAGAAAATAAAATGTATGACATTATTTCTCCCTTGCAAGAAGACAGCATTATTCTTACAAGCTCTGCCCAAAACTAGACTAAAATTTTAGAGGTAGACTAAACTAGCCTAATACATTTATGGGTTTGGCATGATTGAGAAAAAAAGAAGAAAATAAATTTCCTTTTCAAAATGAAAGGGAAAGGTTATGCAATGGGATCCATAAGTCAGATTCTGATTGTACTGTAAGAATTCCTGTGCAAATTTGGACAATTCACTTAATCTCTTTCTGCCTCAATTATCCATCAGAATTAGGATTAGAATTAATTTATTTCTTGTAGCTATCCTACATGAATACAGTTTTTAGTGTCAGTGAGCCTGTTGTCTAGAAGAGCCTACAGAGAGCACAAAAAAGTTAGAATTTTCATCCTGCAAAAAAGCTGTAATCTGTTTTGAATAGGGTCCACTGCAAATGTTTCAAAGGAACTTAGAATTCCTTTGTGATTCCCTTAGGCTTATGAATCTGCATGAAGGATATGAGCAGCTCTTAGTGATTAGTTTACTTCCTAAGCAGGAGGACTTCTTATTTCTTTGTATTTTATGAATATACCTAGTCACATCACTAATTCATTGCTTAGACTGTCTTTTCAAAAAGCTACTGTCAGTTCCTTCAGCCCTTGAAGAGATTCAATTTTTGTGTTCTACATTTATGATGCATAAATTAATCTAAAGTCTCAGTGGCTCTTGCAGTATTATAAAAATCTTTGTGTGAGGTTGAACTGTATTTCGAAATCATATTATTCCTTCAGCAACAGACATACATGGTCTTTGTTTATTCAGCTTTCATTTTTCCTAGAAATTACCATTTTTATTATTGACCATAGAAAGGAAAAGCAGATTCTTCATTCATGAGCGCAGCAGCAAACTTCATATCTCATGGTAATGAAGTCAGGCAGATTATCACAGAATTCTTGTGCATGCCAGTGTCATAAACTGCATGCACTCATATTATGTCATTCACCTCCTCTGTCTCACAGATCCATAGCATTTCAGCTCTCCCTTTACTCAAGATGGGCCTACTGGTAGAATGTCCTGCACCAATGGACACAGAAGAAAATGGTAGTCTTAGCATGGAATGTTTTGATTCACAATGAATTGCAAACAAAGAGATTTTGAAAATAGGATCATTTACAATTTAAGGTTTTAAACAATGCACAGAACACTGTCCACAGACAAGGGACACAATTATTATTTAAAATCACTTCTCAATATGCATATAAACTACTGCATCACAGACTAGTCTAAATAGAAAGCAAAAACCTGCCTCTGAAACTGAAACTAAAAAATAGTGGGAAAAGTCTTCACTCTCAAAATAGTGACAAAAATGATAGGCTTTAAAAGTGCAGAGATGTCTGCTTGTGTGAAAGCTGAATGCATAGTGAAGTGATGCTGTGATCTGCATAAATAGGAGAGCACAAACTGTCATTTACATCTACACTCATTTTCTTTTTTAAAAATGTGATGGATTTGTCATGCATTCCAGTGCAACACTGCACAGACGACACTCAAGACTGTGAGAGGTACCTTTCACAGTTGAAGTTCTCCAGAGTTAAGCTTGGAAACACAGGGAGATATTGCTGAGCTGGAACCAGCTTGACAGATCCAGACAGCTCATTCAACCCTGAGGCTACTACATGTACTGTGGGAAATTATATGGGCTAGCACCAGAGACCAAGCTGGCATGGTATAGCTTTTGTCCTCAGAACAGGACGGATGTCTGTCAGGAGTGCGCCCTGGCTTTTGATGTTCCTTACCCTGCTAAGGAGACATTACCTAAGGAAGTGCTGGTTGGCATGGGCCAAATCTGGGCAAGGGCACACACTGTGGTAGGGGTGAATGCTGCCATTGCTCAGGCATGTGGTGTGTTCCTGATGAGCTGAGGGACCTTACCACCTTCTGCTCCATTTTCTCTGTCTAGAGAATAGGTTACAGTCCAGTGTAAATCCAAATTAAAACTGCTGAAGGCCACAGAATTACATTGGTGTAAAACTTGAGTAAAGCAGATGCAGCTAATCTCTTGGGGGTCACTACTGAATTATGCCCGAGCTGCATTTGGTACTGGATTGTGGGTCAGTAGGATGTCACTTTGTGTTCTGGGTCAGGGAAGTGAGGTTTCTGTGTGAGCTAACGGACACATGGTCTCTTCTTATCCTGTTCCTGTCCGACTGTGCTCTAAGAGAGCACTTGGACAGTCACTTCACAGAAACCATCTGGTATCGCTGCTTTTCCTCAGTTCAATAATCACTTTACCCATTCTTCAAATTTTATCGTTTCAGTTTTAACCTCTTGATCTACTACTCTCTGAGCCTGATCTATCAGTTTAAATTCTTTTTTCTCACCTGCAAAATCTTGCACAAAGATATGCCTTTATGTTGTCCCTCATATTTTATGCACTCATTCTGCCCTTAATAACCAGGCATGACGTTTCCGTCTCCTAATCATACTCTTTCCATAACTTATCCATCCACAAAATAGGCCCCAGCCTCAGTGGACTTGTTGCTCACATACTTTAAAAGGCTTACATCAGCAAGATTTACAATCAATTAACTGCCTTCTCCATCACAATACAAGAGTAAGACTGAACTACATCTGATATTGAACTTCTCTGTTCATTGGATTTTAATTTATTTATTATTGGCTTGCTCTAGACCTCCCAATGATTTTTTTTTTCTACATGTGCTTTTCTTTCAGCCTGTAAACTCCTTATGGTAGCTGTTGTTCTTTTAGTTCTGTTTTATATAGCACCTGGCATATTAGCTCTGACAACAGATGAGAGAAAACACAGGCCCTAAAATGTCTGGATTAAACAGCAGGTGCAACTTCACTTGATCACATAATTACAGAGCATAAAATGTGTCCAGAGTATGAATACA